TCTCTGCTGTATGGGAAAATCTAATAAAACTCCAAAGCAAGCCAGACTAGAACCAAGTTTTTTTTTTTTCTTTCTTTTGTTCTTTACAGTTAATGATCCTTTGCATTGTAACATATCTGCACTGTTGTGTGAGATCATTTAAAATTGCCCAGTAAATATAGCTTTGATCATCTGCCCATACTCCATCAAAATCATGTAATTGGCCTGTAAGAAATGTCTCTTTTTATCCTGTTTTTTTTCTCAATATGATGTATTCTAGCCCTCATAGTTATGAGCCAACAGTCTAAGTTTCTTCTCTTTTCTGCTGAACTTTAATCAGTCCATCTACACTCTGAAATTCATTCAATTACTGATCTCTTAAGGTCATTAAGCTGCTTTAACTACAACATGTTATAAGAACATGCATGATCCCAAATCCCTGACGCCTTTCAAAGGGGACGGAAGGGACATGATTATCTCCCCAAAAAATGAAAACATCTCTTTTTAATTTAATCTAATTGGAATGACTGACAGCCTTTTGTCCCCTGGCTGCACCCTGAGTCATTTGTTTAGAGTTCAGAGACTGTAGCATCTGCTTTTACTTCGTATCACCTCATTTATTCAGCCATTTTCTGTTTTGTTTTAGTTTTTCTATTGGCTTTATACTTAAAATCTTTCATGCTGAATTTCGTAAGGAAAAGAAATCAGAATATTTCTTTGCAAAAATGTGGATTATAGGATGAAACTAATTTAAATGTGAAACATGAGGTTTGTATTTGTGCAGTAGAAAATCCTGAATCAGTTGCATTCATATGTCACCTATTTAGTATATATGTGCAATTTAATATGAGAATAAATCTTTTCTGTGAAGGCGTAAAAAGATTTGCTAAATAAGGTTAGCAAATAATAAGCACTGTGAAGAGTAGGAAGACAGGGGTGGAGAGGTTTATAAAAGGGTTAAATTTAAAAACATTATCCCGAGCTTTGAATACTCCACATGATAATTGTGGAGGAGTGACAGGGGTGGGATTATCTATTTACAGGACAACTATCAATTCAATTAAAAAGTGTTCTTGTTGAGAAGGTTGCATTTTGTTGGAGGGAATACAATTTGAAAAGTTCCAGTTAGGTTAATGGAGTAGGCAGCATGCTGGAGGAGCTCTGTTGAAAACAGCAGAAAATTCACCTACATCTCTACATCCTGTAAGTGATGAGATGGGCAAGGCAACTAATGAAACACAAATGTGCACGGGGAACCTGGTGAAACACAAAACTACAAAAGAATCAAGACAAGTCAGCCTTCGAACTCAGGTAGCAACCCAGGAAATCCACTGAAGCGGACATGCATAGAGGCGATGCTGCAGGGCTTGGAGGGAAGGATTACCTCAAAGTTGTCAGTCCAGTTCTTGGTTGATAGGGTACTAATGAAGCAAAATCATACGACAGTCCAGCTGCTCCAAAAATCGTTAAACAACATGCAAAGCTGACTGTTGTAGCTCAAAACCACCTCCAGTAAGCTAAAGAAACGACAACGAGATGCAATGTGAAAACCTGTCAGTCGGTTTGTCGAAAGCAATGAAGTAAAAACAGAAAGTGGACGAAAGTCCTCTGTTCTGATCAGACAAAAAAAATAAAATAAATGTGGGCTAAGATACAGAGCAGTATGCTTTGTTTACAAATGCAGCTGCAATACATCGATATTGATGTATAGCATCGAACTAATTGTTTCCGCCCTTAAGATGCACTACATCCTTTTTTCTTTAGGATGTAGTGCATCCTAAGGACAAAACCCTCAAACCAGAGCGGAGTGTTGTATGCAGTTCAGTGCAGTGAGGAATGCTCTGATCTTTATATTGCAGAAACCAAACAACCTCTCCACAGATGCATGGCCCAACACAGAAGATCTACCTCCTCCAGACAAGACTCTGCAGTACATCATCCTTATAGACAAAGGACATTCTTTTGAGGACCTGAATGTTCACATTTTGGAAAAAGAAAATAGGTGGTCTGAGAGAGTCGTGAAGGAAGCCATCTATGTTAAGAAAGAAAAACCAACCTTAAACAGAGGGGGTGGACTCAGGTTCCAGCTTTCAAAAACCTACAATGCAGCAATTGGTTTATTCCTTTCATGTTATCATTGCAGCCCCAGCCCTGTACAGGAGAGCAGAGGACCTCGTCTATTCAGCCAGGCCAACAATCCCCTTTAACACTGACCTTTCAGACATTTAGATGGGTATGGGGTATTGCAGTCTAACAGAAGAAGCCAAACGACCCACATTCCAAATTGGTGGACCCCTTCCTCTGTTCCAATATGCATGTTTTTAAAACAAAAAGCAAGGCTTTGTTGGGTTACTGTATAAAACCTCGAACTCAACGCCATTCCTGACTATTTCAATTGAAAAAGGTTCCTGGATGGGAAGCAAAACGGGGAAACAATCCAGTGGATTTTTTTTTTTTTTTTTCTTTTATAGAATAACTATGACCTGGATGATGGAGAACCTTCACCTGCAGCTACTATAGTTTCTGTCAAACACGGCGGTGGCAGCATCATGCTTTGATGATCTCTTTCCTCACTAGTTATAGGGAACCTGGTTAGAGATAAAAATACTGGGAGAAAAGCTGTAAGAAGCTGCACAGGAAAATGAACTGGGGCAAAGTTTCACTCAACATCAGGACAACAACCCTAAACCCACAACAAAGGCATGACTTTTGATCAAAACATGTTTTCAGAATGAACCATTCAAATTCAAACCTAAACCCAATTAGAAAGCTGACAGAGAGATACAGCAAAAGACTTGCAGCTGTGATTACAGTGAAAAGGTCTTTATCTGTGTGTACCGCTAAAACCTATATGTTTCTCCATTTGATAAAATAAGAATAAAGCACATTAAAGTGTTTTGGCTTAAAAACAAAAACAAGTCTTAAAAACAACAGAGATGGAACATCTTTTTCAGTAGCTTTCTGGTTACTGTGGATTAAAGAAAAAAAAATGAAAGGTTAAAGAAACATCATAGAAATCTGAATCAGATCTATGTCTGTTTTTCTACTGGAGGACTGCTTTAACTCTAGGTTCCATTTTACCAGGTTGAGGTGAAGCAGCACATATAGAGTGAAAGTGTAGCATGGTGTGAAACCAGAGTAATGGCATGGAGTCAGGGGACATTTCTTTCTGTGGGGAAGCAATTTGTGCGATGTGGACTGTGCCGGGTAAAAAGACACCGCAGCTCCTCCCATAGTGTTCTGATTGACAGGTGATCCAAGAACAGGGTATAGTGAAAGACAGCAAAATCCGAGCTGGAACAGCCTGGAGGGGGACAAGCTCTCCAAAATGAGGATTGCAGATTAAAGCGTGCATCAGTTTGCCTCCATGCAGCTGCCCAGCCTTAATTTCTACTCTTGTCTGCAGCTGTGATTTGAGGTCTGGAGGTGTAGTGTTTTTGATATTCAGAGGTGTTTCCTTCCGCCTGTGGCCGTGCTTTGAAATGACCCCCCCCCCTACCAACCCCCTTGTAGCAGGATGAGGGAAGAACTGGGGGTGTTTTGCTCTGGGGAGGTTTTCTCACCCTCAGATTAATCAAGAGCAGACTGAGGCCCTGAGGCGAGACTGGGGCAAACATCGTCTGACGCCTCGGCTCTGCTGTGAAATAATCCTGCAGTGAGCTTCGTGACAGCATAAGGTTTAGTCACATATGACTAGTTGACATCATAAAGAATGAGTTAGAAAGCCTTAAGACTTCATGTAAAATGGAGGCAAATGTTGTTGTGATTCAGAATGTTATAAAAAAGGTATTTGCCCCATTTCAGACTTTTTATTTTTATTTTTTAGGTTTCAGTAAATTAAACAAATGTATTCCCTTTAGGAAAAAACAAGAGGGAATATTGGTCCAGTATTCTTCATACGTTTACTCCCAAATAGCCACAATAAAGGGTTTTTGAGTGTTAGCACTCTGTTTATGGTCATACTACGTCATCAAAGAGACAATAACATCATGCTAAGAGCTTAATTTAGATTGTATTTTTGGGAAAAGTCAGGGATGAACCTTTCGGTGTGCTTTGTGTTGTTTTTTTTAATTTGTTGTATTTGGCAAGCATTAGGGCGCTGAAGAGCATCAGATGATTTTCCTGTGGAGAGCAGAATTCATGGTTGCTTCATCTATGTCAGGTTATTTGGAAGCAGAAACACAGCGATCAGGGTTTTCACACTACAATTACCATGTTGCACTAAAGTTTCCCTTTCCTAAAATGCTGTGTTTTTTTTTTTTTTTTTAGTCCGCATGTAATAAGACATCTCCTCAGTCCACAGAATATTTTTCTAAATGTCCTGGGGATGATTAAAATGTTTTTGTTTTCTATTAGCTGTGGTTTTGGTCATTGCATTTTCCATCAATGTCAATTTTTTTACATCTATTTCTTAATGTTGAATAATCAACTCTTATCCTAACTAAGCCTAGTGTTATGCCTGTAATGCTTCAGGTATTGTTTGGGGTTTAAACTCCATCTCTTGTAGGAATTTTCCATGGCAGCCTGGAATAATGTTACTGTAGCTAGTTGTGAATGCTGAAACCACAGTTCCTTAAAATTGACTTGTAATCCTCCCAATAATATCAGATGTGCTTTAGATCATGGCATGATTGTGTTTTTTTTTTTTTCTTCTTGGAGATATTTAGCCTGCTTCATGTTGTTGGAAAGGTTCTGTTCAATGATTCCTTGATTGAACAGGTCTGGCATAAAACAGGCTACTAGAGTTGTACTCAGTTTGAAGAAATGTGATTTAATCAACTCTTGATTTAAATATTTAGTGAGAGATTTTTTTATCTGATGTTAATATAACTGAAGATTTTAATTAGGACAAAAATAACCACATATGTAGGGAGCACACACTATTTCTGAGCACTGTATTTATTAGACATGTGCTGCCCTTGTGCTCTCAGTCACCATGTTTCAATGTGACTAAATCATTTTCTCTGAATTTTAATCATGCTGCAGTACATCACACTTATAGATTTTGTTTACACACACAGATCATCCTCCACTCCATGCACAAGTATCAACCTCGTGTTCACATCATCAGGAAGGACTTCAGCAGTGAACTGTCTGCTAACAAACCGGTTCCAAGCGGGGAGGGAGTTAAGACCTTTAGCTTCTCTGAGACCGTCTTTACAACCGTCACTGCCTACCAAAATCAGCAGGTAAGCACGTCCTTTTTTTAATCATTCAGTTTGCATATTCAAAGGTTTTTAAGAGACCATTTGATAAACAAAGGGAATCAACTCTCATAGTGATTCTTTTAGTGCATCAACAGAAATACCTTATAATAGAAGAACCTTGCTGAAGTTCATTTTACATTGTTCTGTCTGTTGTCTGTGCAGATCACCAGACTAAAGATTGATCGCAACCCCTTTGCCAAAGGATTCCGGGACTCGGGCCGAAACAGGTAAGAAATAAATCCTGTTGTTTTATTTTTTTAAGCTCTCTGAATCTGTTTCCATCCATCAACCTAACCTATTTATTATTCCTAAGGTTTAACATTATGTTCCGAAAAAATATGCATAAACTTAGATATTCAGCCAGAAAAGTGCTCTTGTAGAAAAATGGAAAAAAAAAAACGTCCATTTATTCCCTAAAACGTTTTCTCTTATATCCGTCCACTAATTTTTGCAGAATGAACCTAAACCCTATCTTGTATTTTTTGCATTAATCTCAGAAAAGCCTAGATCCATAACTAATAGTTAGAACTGTAATAATTAGCTTCCTGAGAAGAACTTTTGCGACATCTACCAAATCTTCTAACTTGGTTATGACCGATGCAGTCCTGCTTACTGGAAAATAAATTTTCAACAAATTTATTTCTTTTGATGGCAAGAATTTTCACTACATATTGAAAGGCAACAAAAAAGTACTGTTATTCTAAAGCTGGTCAGAATTTGCTTTTAAATATAGACAAGCACCAAAAATGATTTCATTTGCCAAAGATCAGGTTCAGTTCTCAGTCTGCTCAATAATTACTCAAGCATTTTTATTTAGTATGAATCCAACATGGCTAAAGTTCACAGCCAGTCTAAGAGGGGAGAAGCCAAATTAAAATTCAGTTGTTTTAAATACTTAAGTATCAAAAGCATCATGTCTGCTTGTCAGATTGACATTGCAGAACTTTGTCAATTTTGCTGATTTACATGAAAAGATTTGGCTCCTTCCAAATAGCTGAAATTGTAGCTGCTGCTTTAACCCCTTCACCTTTTGTGAGGTCAACAAAAAGAAGACCATCCAGGGTAGGAAAGGAGCTCCAGGCTACTGTGCTGAATCCAGACAGCTCATCATGTGATGGACACCACGTATGATGCTTTTCAAATTGGCCTTAAAGAAAAGAGCCACGGAGATTTATAAAAAATATAAAAGTATACCTCTTAGAAGAGGATAGGATTATCAAGAGGTCCTCATGCTAAATGAGCTATAGATAAGAAGCCTTCTGCTTCCTTTTCCTACCTCCTTCCTTACTGTCAGCACTATTTAGATAGCACTTGTATGAGGGACCGCCGTCCTCACTGATTTGCAGCATAGGTTGGAGGCGGTGCATCAACAATAATCTTCCTGGATAACACAGAAACCAATAGCTGAACATACTGTATAAAAGGTTTCCAATTGGATTTGTTACCAAACCTAAACTAAGACTTCATGAAAAGCAGAAATGTTATTTAGCCTAAATTAATAATACTTTCATTATAAGACTACCTTAATTTTTATATTAGAATAAACTTTCATCAAATCTTATATGAATTACTGTTGGGTTTTATTTATATACGGTAAATAATATTATATATGTAATCAGCCAATACAAACATGAAAACAGTTTAAAGGTTCATAAACTTGGTGTGTCGTAAGCTTGCGTCGCCTCCATTTTAAGCAATAATTCGAAATTTAAAAAAGAAATGCAACATTAACCTTTCTTTATATAGGCTTGAGGTTTTAAACAGAACTCAAATATTTGCTTGTATCAAAGGTAAAAAAAAAGGTGTGAAGGTTATAGGACAAATATGTCACTGTAACAACATTGACCTTCTACCAGTTTAAGATCTTTAGAATTAGAGGAACAGTGTCTCAGCAGGACCTTGAAAAACTAATTCATGCATTCATCTTTAGTAGAGTTGTTCACTGCATGCGGGTCTCAGATCTGCCTAAAACGTGGATAAAATTACATTTAAAACATATTTGTTTAAATGTACTATCTAAACATAAGTTTGCAGTCCAACTTTTGTTTTATTTTCTTTGCAGTCTTTTTATCATGTCTTATTTTAATAATCACCTGTCTTATAAATGATTAATTTGTATAGTCTTTAATTATTCATGTCCATTCCTTATTTTTTTTTTACCTTTATGCCACTGCAAAGTACTTTTCCCTTTCCCTGTTTTTCTGTTTCATGTAGGGCATGTTGAATTGTCTTAATACTGAAATGTGCAAATTAATTTAAATAGGGGGAGGAGCAGGCTGCAAACTTTACAGCTGAAAATTGAATGTTGTTGTAGCTCAGAGATGGTGGAAGTTATATTTACTTCATGACTGCAAATTACAACATTCTTGATAAAGCTTCTTCTTTAATCTAAGATTTTATGCACCTTCACTGCCACCGTAACACCCGTTCCTGCTGAACTGTTGCTCATGCAGGTTTCTCTATGTTAAAGGAAAGTCAGCAAGCTTTCCTTCTAAAAACCAGCGTAAGGACGCACACAGAGAACACTGAAGGAAGGCAGGTGTAGAAGGAAATTCACAATGAAGGCATCAGACCAAATATCTCAGTGTCGCGTCTCTTATTATCCCATCAGCATTTTCTTTAATGCCACCTCTGTTTTTAGTGCAGCTGCCTCCAATGCAATGCTTTTATTAATCATGCTCACGTTGATATTTTAGTTTTCTGTTTCTTCCCTCTCCTTTTCTTTGGTTACAAAAATTTAAACACATTGACATTTTTTTTATTTTTGCTTTGATCAATTTTTGTATTTTAAATCATAGAATAGAAATACTCAAAAGGGAAAGTTTTAGTCCTTTTGTCTATAAAAGCAAAAAGGTGTTATAAAAAGGAGTCAGTTAGCTGAAGGCTATGCAGGTGTAATTATATATTCTGGTTCTGTTTCTGCACTCGATCCACCATTTCCATGCCTTATGACCACCTGGAGTTCAAGTAAGTTTCCCCCCAGTTATAAAATCTTTATTCTTAAAAAACATTAAAAATATCATAACGGTTTCAGACCTGCGTTTGGTTATAAGATGTTTTTGGAATAACGGCTTTGTGTAACAAAATGTAACCCCCTCCCCCACCACCACCTTCACGTCTAGACTTTTTTTTTTACCCTTTAAACCACATCAGTAAGGTTATAAACACTGTCTGGACTTCTCAGACACAGTACCGTACACTGAATATGGCAGTCTGTGCTTACTGTAGAGCACATTATGTGTTTTAGGGTGTCCTTAATCTACCTGCATCAAACGCCTTGATCTTTGCTTTTTTTTTTTTTTTTTTTTTTACTATGTGACATCAGCACTACAAAGCAGCAAGGAGGAGAGAAGAATAGATTATATTACAGAGGATATTTCCTTCCACGCCTTCCCTGCTTTTGGTCACTCTTCTTTTGGTTCGCCGTGTTTTCCCTCAGTCTTTGAATACGGATAGATATCCCTGTGATGAAGGAGGAAGGGAATGAGAGGGATGTTAAACCAACAGACCCTCCTGACATGAAAGCAGCCTCCTTCATCTGGTCTGCGTTATTAGGCACAGATATTTGAGACATCTTTTTTCATTTTTCAAACAATGGACCATTTGATTTATGAACTGGCATCTTCGTTTTATTGCAGGAAAGCAACAGATGAAAAGATAACAGAAAGTAAGCTATTTGTCCGTGGAGAGAAGGAAGGAAAAATGAATTTATCTTCACGTGCGGCTTTGGATTGGATCTCTGCAGAGCTTCTGGGATTTGTTTTGTTCTGATGGAAGTTCGCCCCTTTGAGAATTTAGACTGATCACCCTACTTCAGCCTCACTTAGAAAAAATGACCTTGAAGTCATTCTCAATTTAATACTTCATTATTTATTTTCAGTTTCTATCAATCAAAGTTACAGTCGATATGTGGCTCTAAGTGTTGATTTTAATATGATTCAGTTCTGTGTCGATTCAATGCGGACCTTTTCTTTTTATCCGCTCCTTCCTCTTCAGAGCTGCTGAGGTTGTTGAAAAGATTTGATCCGCTGATTTCAGTTAATCTATTGGAACTAAGAGCAGAGGCAACAATATTTTGTTTGTGAAATTATTAGCTGTGCTTATTTCACAACTTTGAAGCAAAGACAAAATTTTCTGGTGCTGATGTTTTTTATCTATCATTAGCATTTTATATCAGCGAGCCCCACAATTAACTCAACTAGCATTACTTAAACAGCCGTCTATTTGTTTATATTGCAGAGACTGTATTTTGGTTGAACGTTTTATTGGATTTCTAAAAAGATCAATCATTTGCAGATCCATAAGCTTCCATAGCAGAGGGTTGGGAAGTTACACTTTCAGCCTTCCTGTTACGTGCTTACAATACTTTCACTTATGGCCATTAAGTAGAAATATATTTATTCAATATCTAATCATTTTTTTCCTTAAAATTATGCATGTTTTAAGTAACATACAGATTTTCACATTTACAAATATAAATATTGCCCCTTCTATTATAATGAATTATTGGCACTTTTGTCTTTCCATACTATACCTGCTACAGGCACAGTTAACCCAATTAACTGATGTCTGCTTGCGTAACATCTTCAGATTTGAGCTGAAAATGTTAAGTTCAAAGCTGTGGTTCAGCATCATCTTTTATTCACAGCCATTTAGCTGCAGCCTGAACCTGCAGGTGCTGTGGTGGACGTGCCTCATGTCAGTCCTGACCAAATCAGATCACAGCTACTTAATTCATCCCAATAGTTTGCTTGATAAAGTAATACTTCATTTAGCAAATATAAACAACAGACCCTGACAAAAGACAGTGTTCTCTCTATGGGTGAATGCAATCTAAAGTGGGGTGTACCTGAGGCTTGAGGTGTGCTCCTCAGGTGAGGGTTGCGGTTTCACATCAAAGTGATGGGGCCATATCCTGTACTAGAGCGGGAAGTAGGATTTAGGCTCTGTATTACCTTGTGAGGCCTGGTTTTATTTCTGCTGTAGCACAGTGAGTATTTGGTAGCTATCTGCAGCAGCTTAACAAACTCAAAGAAGCTGCATAAATGGCCAAACCATTTTATGGGAATGAGGGATGAGTGTATATATCCCTAATACCGTAAGAGCAAATTCAATGAAAACTCATCTTATTTAATTTAAATAATAAGTCCATGTGTTTTTTCACAAGCATGCTTTTTAAAAAATAAGAAACTGTACCATGGGCCTGGGACAACTGACCCAGTGGTTCCCTCCCTGGTCGACCGGCCTGTGTCCTAGAAAACATTTTTCTTTAAAAAAATCTTAAACCAGTTTGCTTTTTTTGAGTTAACACAAATACACAAATACGTGACCTTCTTGCTGTCAGACAACAGTGCTTCAAACTGCACCACCATGCAGACCCACACTTGATTACATGTTGTTTTATATGCATCATTTACATGGTCAGATGTTATGTTTTCAGTGTAAAAGAAAAAAAGAAATTAAAAAATTGTTACAAAGATAAAAATAACTACATTTAAACATTTTAGAATATTACATTTTATAGGACTTTATTCATACTTTAAGGCTTTAAATTTACACTCTAATCTCCCTGCATGGAAATATAATGGTTTATATATATATAATAACATGGTTTGAGTACCTTTACCCTCATATTGAGTGTTTTGAGCTTCTTATTAGTTACATCTTTTTTGCAATTGCATTGTTGTTAGTTTTCTGGATAGCCTTTGCAAAGCCCTGGCCTCAACTTTGACAAATGTTGAAACTATGATTTAAAGCTGAATTTCTGTCAGCAAACCAACAGATTCCGCCTGTTTCTTTTAAAAAATATCTATTCTCTTATGAAACACCATGATTTTCTGCCATTGACGTCTTTGCAGGTAATTAAAAAAAAAATTGAGAGCAAAAGGCAACAACTGTGACATCAAAAACACCCTGTGACGTATTTAGCAATTTTAGTTACTTTTTAAAAAACTTTAACGAGTTAATATTATCATTGGACATTGATTATATAAACAGTGGTCAGAAAAGCACAATTGTAGTGCAAGTATTTCCATTATAGCAATAAAGTACTCAGGTAGCTACTTTGGAGAGAAACATTACCAACTTTTCCTTCATCCAGTGGAAATTCCATATTAATGGAAAGGGCAAACCTCCACAGCCAATTATCACATTAAAAAACAACTTTCTTTATTACCCTGGAATTCTTATAACATCTAATATAGATTCAAGCTTGGGTCCAAAGTAACGCGTGGGCTTGTCCTCCACTGCACCCTGCTGGGAAAGCTTTATGGCCAGCCAGGAGGACACAGCTCATTTATTGTGTTTTGGTCCCTTCGTGGTCCGGATGCATGAATGATCGCAGTGATGGCGAGGGCTGAGCAGATTAGCAAGACGCACTAACGAGCCACCATGCTCTGGGAGTTAGCAGGCCTAAAATAACACTAGCCTCCCAGGGAAGAGGCAGAGTGGTGCTAAAGGAAAGGTAAATCAAGGAGGACAGGGAAGCATGTGCAGATTCAAGATGAAACGTCACTTCAGATTTATGTGTGCTGTAAAAAGCTTCCTCCTTTTTAATGACCCTAGTTTCCTCCAACCAGACTTCAGTTCCCTGCCTCTCTGTCGCACTTCGTCTGGTAGTTTCAGTCTCAGACAGCTGCCACTAATTTTTCTGTCTCTCTTTCACAGGCTAACATTAATTTAGTTTTTTTTCCACTTTTATTACCTTTAATAGCTCCTCAGATGCTTTATTTCTACCTGCATATAGGATTTTAACCTGACGTTGAAAGTAATGCAACAATCATAAATTTCTTTCTTTCTTTCTTTCTTTCTTTCTTTCTTTCTTTCTTTCTTTCTTTCTTTCTTTCTTTCTTTCTTTCTTTCTTTCTTTCTTTCTTTAAGACATTTTTACATCAACTTTGCTCAAATGTTTAGCACCCCTTTTTTATCAATAGCTCATAAAGAGTTACTTTACTTTGGATAAAACAGGTTAAAAAAAAAAAAAAATCTTTATAGATCAACAGAAGAGAGAAACAGAGAAAAAAGAAAAAGGTAATCTTCAGTATGTATATATCCATATCCATAAACATGTTTACAAAGGTAATGAGTTTATCTGGCTGATTTGATAACAAAAACCTATTTAATCCTTCCTCTTATCTATATTCAACGGAATATACTCTTGATTAACTCAGTATTCATTGTTAATTATATAAATAAAATCCTGTGTTGAAGTCATGTGAATCAAATGTATAAAAATTAATATAAACCAATTTTCTTCACATGAGGAAAGTACATCCTTACATCTAATTTGTAGTAACAGGATAATAATGAAAAAAAAAAATACATAGAAAACAAAAACAATCTCAACTTATTATAATAATTATCATAATAGAGTGGTAAGGCTGGTGGGAAACTCTTCGACAAACTTCCCTATGAATGGATGCAAGACACCCCTGATTATCAAAGGTGTAAAACTCCGCCACTGTCATCTTTCACGACTGTCATCACAGTTATGCAAAGATGATTGATTGTTTCAACTTACAGATCAACACATTTGACCTGAAACCTTCCTGTTTCTACATCTTTTCTTTAGAACTGGCCTGGAAGCGATCATGGAGACGTACGCTTTCTGGAGACCTCCTGTGAGGACCCTCACATTTGAAGACTTCACCAACATGCAGAAACAGCAAGGTATAAAATACGTATCATGTGTCTGAGCATTTCCTCTTAAGAACACGATTTATCAGTTAAGTCATTAAATTTCTCATTTGATGGCTTGTGGTAGAATTTTATGAGAAAAAATAAAATAATACAAATGAGTGAACCTTGGGAGCCCTAACAGAAAAAATATGTCAGAGAATATTCAGTTGCATTCAGAATTTCTCATGACAATATTTCTATGAATCCTTTAGTATTTTTGCTGAATCTCTAGCTGGTTATTCCTACTCAGTAAATTGTAGTTTGCAGTTTTAATGGGAAGACAGTTGTTTCATATTTGAGCCACAAACTTTAGTTGGAATAAATCAGTTTGCAACTATTTCTGTTTGATCTGTCTTACTGTGTTTTCAATAGTCTGAAATGTATGCATACCTTTCTGTACAGCTACAGGATTTTCTAATTCAAAGGTAGCTGAACTGTGCAGAGGTGTGTTTCATGAACCAGGTGCTTCACTATCCTAACGTGAACTTTCTCTAAATATTTTCTCCCCATATATCGCCACACACCGATCGGCTATGTATGTCCCTCAATTAAGCTTGGCCCTTTGCTGCTTCTCTGGCAGCTCTGAACTTTTCACATCACACATACATTAGACCTTCAATACAAACCACTGCACTGCTGGTTTTGGACCGCTCATGGTCATCGTTAGCAAATTCTCTCTCCAGTCCGGAGTCGCCAGCAGAGGTTTAGTAATGGGTCATTTCAAAGAGTTTGCCGCTGTGAAATAAACCTTTTTTTCCCCTCTAAATTACCTCTGGAGGCCAGTATGACGTGATTCTCCACATCTTTGTCATCCTAAAAGTCCTCTGCAGTAATAAGAATTTAATTAAAGTTGTTTCCCTACCGGTGAACTCTTCATCACCTCGTAGGAAGGGTCAAAAAAGTGTTTGTTCACGTGCAGCTTTCAACCCTTTTGGCCGCAGACCTTGTCCTTTTTCTTTCCTGTGGTGAAGCACCTTGAATCCAGCTGACGTGAGGAAAACATGACATCACCACGCTATCCTCTTCTCTTGGCGGACTGGGATAGTCATATTATCGAAGGCATATGGTGCAAAATCAGAGTCCCAGCCAAGCAGGTCCTGGATCATTTAGTTATGCCTTCTTCTCATTCTAGTTTCGAACTGAATTTCTCCGACAGCAGCAGCAGCTCCTGCCAGAGTCTCATTAATAGAAAAGTATGTGACTGATATCCCACCGCAATTCTTAAGCTCTGAAAGGCTTGGCTCGTAGTTAGCATCTGTTCCAACAACCTCACAATGTGTGTATATTTTAAACTGTATGAGCAACTCTGTTGACCAGCCAACACGATCGTGTGTCAAGAAAGGTTTTAAAGATTAAAAACATGCAGTAATCCTGAGAGAAAGTTTAACAAAGTGACTTACAGTATATATTTAACTGCCAGAAGGTCCATCTACTGTTGGTTTAGCCATAATTGTTAGTCTGATTGACTGCAAATGGAGGTGGAGATACCAGTAGTCCCTCTACACCAGTGATAGAGGATCACAATCGTTTTTTCCCAATTCTTATCCGTTATTATATATAAGGTTTTTGCTGATATCGAAAACGAATAAATCAGTTAATGAAGTGAATAACATGCGCATTCTTTGAATCGTAAAGGTATTTGCTAAAAGTGAAACCCCTCCTGGCCAGAAAGGGGCGCTGTTTGCCAGCCGGTTACCAGGTCTGCTAATTCGAATGCAAGCCTTTGGACATTTCTCAGTTTTATCACAGACCAAATAGGATTTGGCGAAGCCTGAGCTCCGTCTCTGACTTTCTATGGATGCAGAATCCTTTAATGTTGAAATCAGTATCGTATCCAGAAATACATTTAGTTTATTTTGGACCTGTCAACATTTATAAAGCAGTTATTTAAATACTGCATATATATTTTGTTTTGTAGAATTAATACTTTATACATTCCCGCTCTATACGTTTTGTAAATTCAACATTTTAGGAAAAATTGCTTTGATGAAAAAGTTGTATCAATGAACTTTACATTTTGATGTGCAGTAAAATAATAGACTACATTCATCAGTATTGCAAGGCGCGTACATTAGAACTAGTGGTTTACCCAAATCCCAGCGATACTGCAGTATCCTTTATAAATTTACTGACATTGTTCAGTAGCCTTAACTAAATTAGGAGAACCTCTTTAATAATATAAACATATTCAGCATCTAAAATATGCATAACTAACCTGGTCCTTGTTTTCTAAATGTATTTTTGATCCAGCGACAGCTACACAATACAAATGTTTGTCTGCTCATGATGTCTTTGTGCAGAGCCCTTTGCTGAATGCTAGGCTAATGTAGCATTAACGCTCTATTTTGATATGACTTGTTGATCATCTTGCTTATAATAGACTTCCAGATCTGTTCAGCTATGTTTACTGACTTTTGTTTCAGCTGCTCTCTTTCCAGCTCATATGGAAACAATAAATTATGACATAATAGCCCTTCATTGTCCCTCTGAGGGGAAGTCCAGGTGTTAGCGTAAGAGTAAGAAGGCAAATGTAAGCCAGCACATCATTAAAAAAAAGAAAAAAAAAGTTACAAGACGAAAATTCAAAGTAAAAATCAGGAATAAAGATAAGAGAGAAAAGAAAAATCTGGATTAAAATAAGCAAAAAGAAAAGGGTACAGGACAAACATACATAAAACAGATCGTAAAGGGAGCTGCAGCAGCCAATACAGTCTCACTTAAAGAAAAAAAAATGCAGGTAAAGGTGTAGTAGAAAGAAACAACTAGAAGAAAAAATTGACCAGTATGGGTAGTTATATTAGTGTAAAATATTTCTTTGAAGACCTTTTTGTTTTCCTTTAAAATTTTTGAAAAATGGAAAACGCAGCTCAGAACTTGTAAAAAGTGGGACACTATGATCATGAGAAAAACTAATATATATTTGTTTGTACCTTGTTAGTTCACAAGGACAGTGTTTGAAAGTGTGTTACACTGCATATCATTATTGCTACTCTAACTTAAAAACATTAAAGCACATGTAAGTTGGTCAGGTCTTACAGAAAATTGCCAAGATGGACGTTTATTACCACCTTAGAGTTCAATATCACTTACAGTAAATAATTTCCAGTTAACCATCTTATTTAACCCTTGATTTAAAGATAGAGAATACATAATGTTTATGTTTGTGGTTAATTTTTTCTTCAGCCATTATTTGCTGTCATGTTTGATTTTTAACCCTATTTTAACCATTTTGACTTTTAATCTAGACTTTCATGCAAAGTCAAACAGAGGTCCCAGCTGGATGCTTTTACTGGGATAAGAGCAGATGAATCTGTTTCTAACAGCCTGGATCTGTATGTTGTTTTCCAGGTGGAAGCACAGGGACGTCTCCCACCACCTCCAGCACAGGAACACCTTCTCCATCTGGTGCAGCACATCTCCTTTCCCCCTCCTGCTCCCCTCCAGCCTTCCACCTGGCCCCGAATACTTTCAACGTTGGCTGCAGAGAAAGTCAGCTTTGCAACTTGGGCTTATCGGAGTACCCGGCGTGTGCTCGAAGTAACATGGCGGCTCTGCAAGGCTACAGCGGCCTGGCTGACAGTTCTTATGGCCGTCTCCAGGCTGCAGGGGGAGCGGTGGCCTCTGCCCAACCATCTGATTCGTTCTTGCCACAAAGGACTTCTTCCCTGATTGCTGCAGGTATGCAGGGCAGCACTCACGGCTCCTTGACCGGCAGCGGAAGCGGCAGCAGCTCTGGCAGCAAGATGGACGCCTACGGGAGTCAACTCGGCTCTTTCCCTGCCTCTCAGCTTCAGTATGTGATGCAGGCGGGAGGAAGCTCCGGTTCTGCCTCATCCTCTTCATCAGGGTCATCTCCTTCCTCTGCCCACATGTTCAGCGGCAGCCACCACCACGTGCAGCAGGGATCTTACAATGCTTTCTCCCTCCACAACCCTTACAACCTATATGGATACAACTTCCCCACCTCTCCTCGCCTGGCTGCCAGCCCTGAGAAACCCCAAGGAGGGTTACTCTGCTCCTCCGCTCCTGCGGGCGCCTTTGCCGAGCGCCAGTACCTGCCCAATGGAAGCATGGACACGATGCACATGATTGGCAACACCACGAGCAGCCAGCAGGGCGGCAGCTCCTGCGATGGACGTCAGTATGGCTCTTCTCAGATGTCCATGCACATGGTTTAAAAACCTCCGCCTGCTCCATGTTGTCAAACATACAGTATTTCAGGTGAAAATCAAAGCTGCAGTCACTGAGCCTTGGTGCTGCAGTTACACCTTTTGTTACATTAACATTATTTCAGAAACATCCTACCACTCAAAAAGCAAGCAGGTGAAAAACACTTATTTAATTATTTTTGTAAAGACAAAAAACATTTTGACCGCAGCTCAGTGTTTTTACTGTTGAAAGGAAAATTCGAATTAGTATTTAGAGAAGAAAAGGGAATCCAGATGCTCTGGTCCAGAAGACATGTTTATATGTTACGGTGCAATAGTAGAAACAGCTCTTTCGACTCAGTCTTGATTTTCTAGGAATTTAAAAAGCCATCAGTTTGCGCTGCTGCCCTGAAACCAAAGAGTCATCATTGTCATCCAGAGGATTTTACTTCGAGTGCCGCTTATGCCGTTTATGGAGGAATGTTCAGGAGAACTCTGCCATGGTCTGAGGTTTAGGACAGAATGAAAGGGACAACTGGACAATATCAGTGAATGAGTCACTGCCCCACATCCTTGCTGGAATTAAGGACCTCAATGCAAAGCCAGTTCTTTCCAAAAAGTAAATGAACAGGACTCCACCGTGCAACTTTACCCACCTACCTTACTTAAAAACTGGAATTCTTCAGAATGTTTGCAGGATTCGTCTGATATGTATACATATAGTGGAAAAGTATCTGCCTTCCTAAAGGTTTTTCTTTCTCCTGCTTTTGCTGTTTTATCACACCTAAATGTTCCTGATCGTATCAGGTGAAGATAACTTGAGTAAATACCAAACACGTTTGTTTTTCTTTATTAATCTAACTATAATCACTAATAAAAAACTGGATCTAATTTAACTAGCCACGCAGGGGATTTGTTGAATCATGAAAGGATACAAATAGAAGATGTTTTACAACATGACGCAGACAAAGATATTCAAGACTAACCATTATCTCCTGATTCATACATATTTAAGAATATATACGAAATATCTGATTGTCTGGTGAGGCTTAGAAAGCATTGATTCTCCAATAAACCAGAAAGAGAGTAAATCCATTAATCCATAGTCTTCCACTTATCTGAAATCGTTGCTGCTAAACAGTCAGAATCATTTCATAAATTTTCATAAGACGTGGTAAAAGAAAATAAATGTTTCTATGAGTTTAAAGTTATCTTAAAGGGCATGGATGAATAAAAAATATATATATCTCTTGTGGCTTCATTTGCCTCAGGTATTATTAATGTTCACAATGCAAAAGATAGAAAGAGGCTGGGCAATTTATTTTCCCGTAGATTACTCTGTGACCTTTAGGGCAAAGGAAGACGAACTATACAAAGCACAGTAACAGGTTCACATGTTAAGACACAAAGAAAAAGAAAAAAACATTTAAAGGCAATGAATCGGTCAAGTCAAAACCTGGGATTAATTCAATGTAAGATGTCATGGCCTGAAAAGAGTGTGGTTTGATGAAACAGCTGTGTAAAAAAAAAAAAAAGGATCATTGTCAGGGATCTCATTCTTGGTTTCAGTTGGTAAAACCAGCTATTAAGTTTTGGGAATGTTTTTTTTTATATATATATATATATATAGGACCACCTTCATTTAGAAATCTTTTTGCCTCAGTAAATAAACGTACGTAAGATCTGCACGGTACCTTTACTCAAGTTGCCTGAATTTAAAAGTAGACACGTTTAGGTGTGACAAAAAAGCAAAAACGGAAGAGGACCGTCAGGAGACAAACACTTCTTCATGGCATTATATATAAAAGGAGAAATGGCAAATGCAATCAATATTATAAGCTTAAAAGTGTTTGTGTGAAATGTTGAAAAATAAGCAATACTATAAGAGAGTAAAGTATGTTGTGCTGTGTACTAAGATGTGTATTTAAGAGTTGACAACTATAGCAATTTTGCCTATCTGTTATTAAAATGTGTGCAAATGGGAATTAGCAAAGTTAATCTTTTTTGAGGCAGTTTGGATTAGCTGTAAATACAAGTGCCAAGCACATAAAAAAAAAACAAATAAAAGTTTATTTCATGTATGCAGACTGGATGTCTCTTCTTTTTGTTTCTGTCTCTCCATTTTTAGATTTTTTCTGCCTGAAACATTTCTGTCTTTGTAGAACCAAATGATTCAAGCCATTTAAAAGAGGATATTGGAAAGTTTTATGGGGTTAATTATAAAAATATAACCGGTCAGGCCACCTTCACACTGCAAAAACAAAAAGTTTAATCAAGAATATTTATCTCATTTAGAGTCAAAATTTAAGTGAGACTTAAGAACTTCTTTTAAGACAATACATCTGGAAAATCCTGATACGTTAGAAAGTCTGGAAACCATCTTGTTTTGAGTTATAACTTAATTAATACAAAGTTTTTTTTTGAGCTTGTAAAACATGTAAAATCTTATTTCAAGAAAAGGGATACACTTGAATTAAGACAAATCTCCTTTATTTTATATGCATCAAAATAAGATATCAATTTATAGCTTACCATGAAAAAATAAACAAGTTTAGTCATTTTTTATTAATGTGTATCAATCCAAACATCCTAGTAATTTATAAAAACACAGTAATTAATTTTTTTTTGTATAAACTCTTTTGTTTTACTGTGGAGAGACTCCACACCATTATGTTGAAGATAATTAGTACAACTATCCAACAGTATTTCACTCGGCAGGAAAACATTGGATGGTCAAAACACCAACAACTGTTGGTAGTTGATCATCATCATCTTTGTGAGTTTTTACTTCATTGGAAAGTATGTGCTATCATTGAAATTTACGTACGAGGATGCTGTTTAATCAACGCATCTATGGAAATATGGGCTTGAGTTAAGCAGGCAATTTTGACCTTATAAGCTAAATATTGATTATTTCAACCAACGGTAGAAAGAGGTTGACATTCAAAACTATACACTGATAAATTTGCAACATACATGTTTTTCAAAATAACAATTTTTGAGGAACCATTGATGGTATTAGAAATAAACAGAGGTTGCCCACATTTATGCCTGTTTCCATATTGCTTGACCCATTGCACTGCAACTATATATATTTAATATGTTTGATACCAATCCTATTCTAAGAGAAAAAATACTATTTCTATTAACAGATATTCTCACTAAGCTGCTCACTTTCACGGCAAATACACCCATTAACGAAATAAAATTTAAGTTCTAAAATCCTTTTTCATGTAGGATTCAAACCTGAATCTATACCATTGTCAAAAGCATGTTACTGAAAATGAGTTGCATACATCTTATAACTTAGACACTTAGACTTTGATAGATTTATTTTGTCATTTTGTATACA